TGAAGCTCTCTTCCTGTCTGTGCTTCTGTGGGGTCACGTTGTATATCTCTTGGCAGTTGTGGCTATGGATGCTATCTTCTGATCTGGGTCGGAGAGTTCCTTTTTTTTTTCAAGACAGGATTTCTCTGTGTAGTCCTGGCTGTCCTGGGTACTCACTCTGTAGACCAGGCTGGTCTGGAACTCATTGAGATCCACCTGCCTCTGCCTCCCAAGTGCTGGGATTAAAGGTGGGTGCCACCACCGCCTGGCTGGATTTTTTTTTCTTTTTAAAATTGTGATGAAATACATGTAACATACAATTTAACATTTAAACAATTGAAGTTCATTCATATTATTGTATAGCCATCACAGTTTGTATCCAGAATCTTTTCTTATCTTAAAAATTTGAGAGCCGGGCCGGGTGGTGGTGGTGCACGCCTTTAATCCCAGCACTCGGGAGGCAGAGGCAGGCGGATCTCTGGACCGATAGCCTCCAAAACAATACAGACAAACCCTGTCTCGTAAAAACCAAAAAAAAAAAAAAATTGAAACTGCTCATTAAGTCAAACTGCCCACATTACGCTTGATTCTTTAGTGACTAAAATGAGAGGGTGATGTCACAGAAAGCAAAGACTCAGGTGTGAGGTGTGAAGGATGCTGAGCAGCGTGCTACCTCATGACAAAGCTGCTGAGGAGAGAGGAGTTCTATTTTAGAAGTTATCAGAGGAGCCAGGGCTGTAGGTTCATTCATAACCAGGAAGAGGTTGATAAAAACATTACAGAATGAACGCGAGAGAGAATGGAGATGGCCTGTACCTGGAGGTCCCTGATCTGTGGCAGGAGGCTGCACTGAAATCAGACTTCCCAGCCATAGCCACACCAGCTGAGGGACAGGCTATAGCTGAAAGCCAGACTTGGCCTGAGTTCTGTGAGGAAGGTGACTTGACTGAACCTGGACTGGGTACAAACGGGGACAGAACTAACTGGAGATGGCAATTGGCAGAAGGAAGTGAGATAATTCTGGGAACTGGAGAGCTGGTTCCATGTAGAGATTCCTGGGAAGTTGCTAGCCTGTGAAGTCTTAAGCAAATTTACATTCACCCCCCAAGGTATTTGGATGTACCAAGTGGCCATTGCAAGGTAAATCCTGAGGGAGCTGCTGGCCCTACAAGAATGAGAAAGACTTCCTGTCACCCTAGCAAACTACTGAACCCATATAAGCATGTCACACCAGTGTGAAGATTTGAAGCTGCCCTCAAACTCAACAGTCTTGGTTCTTCCTTGAGAGTACTAGCATTGCAGTGTGAGCCACCATGTCTGGGCATAGCATTTTTTTTTAAGATGGGAAAACTGGCCAGCGTTGGTGGCGCACGCCTTTAATCCCAGCACTCGGGAGGCAGAGGCAGGTGGGCCTCTGAGTTCGAGACCAGCCTGGTCTACAGAGCAAGTTCCAGGACAGCCTCTAAAACAATGCAGAGAAACCCTGTCTTGAAAAACCAAAAAAAAAAAAAAAAAAAAAAAAAGGAGGGGGGGGGACTGTATGTTGCTGGCCTTGAACTCCTAGGTTCAAATGATCTCCCAACACAGCCTCCTGAGCCTTTCCAGGTGTTTGGATGTAGACACCCTATTCCCTTCCAGAACGAGGAGGACTGAGACTGGGGTTTAACCAGGAGGTTTTCTTCCTGCTCAATGAATGGGCTGATGGCCATCTCTGCTTCTCTTGCAGGCATCATTCATGCCCGAAGCCTGGTTCGGGAGTGCTTGGCTGAAACGGAACGTAATGCCAGGTCCTAGCCCCTGGCCAGTCTGAAGGCCCATCTTGCTACCCCTTGGAGATGAGAGGCTTTGTTCAAAATGGCAGTTTTCCTGCCATGGTCATTAAGCTCTGAACCCACATTCAAAAGACTGAGAAGACATTTTGCAGTTACTGATGATGTGCATTTTAAGTAGTTAGGAACAATCCAAGCATTGATTTTAAAGATGTTTGTGAAGCCACTTCACAGCAAGCTATTGTTTTCCCCCAAATACCAGTGTCCCCTTAATCTCCCTTTGGATACATTTGCCATTTGCATCACCCCAGTTGACTTCCTTTCCAGGAGGTCACCTGCCTCTGAGGACCTGAGTGCAAACCACAGCACGTTTGCTTAGTAGCTGGCCCGCCTGTGTACAGTGTAGACCCTGCTTCACGGAGCTTCTCTGCTTAAGTGTTTGCATGACTGAGTGCTTTGAAGTCAATCTTAAAAATGCACAAGTTACAGATACAGAAGAAGAGCGATCTCCAACCTACCAAGCGCCCTGCAAATGTCCATCCTGAGACTGTAGTTCTCGGTTCCATGTTTACTGTGAGATGATCACAACATCTGGAAGAAAATGACTGAAACTGTTGCATCTTTGTATTTATTACTTGATGTAATAAAGCTTATTTTCATTAACAGTTTGTATTAAGATATAGGAGCCTTGGGTCTTAAGTGCTTGTTTGTCTTTGGTGAGGACAGTCTTGCTAAGTATAGTGACACTGGCCTTGTGCTCACAATCCTTGCCTTGGTTTCCCCACTGTTGGGGCACTGCTGATGCTCATGAGGGAGGGCTTGGAGGTATTTGCTAAGAGCATTTCCTGTATGGCCCAGAGGCATCATGGGATACCACTAGCATAGCTGGCTGTGAATGAGACCCACATTGTGAAATGTGAAGTGTGTACTGTGACTGGCTTGGTGAATTGCTGTCCCTCCATCCAGCAGGTAGGTAGGTGCTCCAAGGATCTCCTTTTGCTGGGCAGTGTGGCTCACTCCTGTAGTCCCAGAACTTGGGAGACAGAGGCAGGAGGATCACATACTTTGTGCCAGCCAGGGTTACACTGTGAGGCGGCAGTGATTAAAAGAAGAGTATTTTTCACAATGTGATATGCTCTGGTGCACACTGAAAGTGAGTCGTGTTTGCATGTACTGATTTACTGTGGTCTCCAGTGTTTACCAGGGCTTGGGAGGTTTTACAGTGTGAAAACTGACCCTTCAAGCTTTGCTCTGAGCTGGATGAAGACAAGTATCAGATGTACAGTCAGTGTTGTGGGTGAGCCCAGTCACAAGGAGTTCAAAGGCTGGCGGAGGGGGCCATGACCTTCGCTGCATCTCCATGGCAGAGCACTAGTGTGCAAAAGGAGACAAATGGAAGTCTTCCTGTGAGTTTCTTCTGTCCCTTCCCATAACACCTTGTTCAAGGGAGCCTGATAGAGGAGGCACCTAGGTGTTACAGCAAAGTGATTCCTGCTTGGAGTGTCCCACACAGCAGCTTCCAGATGTATGTAATAGTGTGTCCAGCCTTGAACAGCTTGATGAACTGCTGCCCCCTCACACAGGAGAGGCAGGTAACAGAGAGCTTCACCTCACAGTATTTTCCTTATCTGGATAGAATTTTTTCCCCCTTGAGACAGGGTCTCACTGTGTCTTGGAACTCACTATGTAGGCCAGGCTGGCCTTAAATTCACAGAGATGAAGCCGGGCGGTGGTAGCGCACGCCTTTAATCCCAGCACTGGGGAGGCAGAGGCAGGCGGATCTCTGTGAGCTCGAGACCAGCCTGGTCTACAAGAGTGAGTTCAGGATAGGCTCCAAAGCCACAGAGAAAAAAGCAACCGGTAGCCTGTGTGGTGATGCACGCCAGTAATCTTTGAAACTGGGGAGGCAGAGAGAGGAGGATCAGGAGTTCATGACCAGCCTGGGCTACGTGAGACCTTAACTTCAAAAGACTGAGTCTACTGGGTGATGACGGAAACATAAGTCAGGTTCTGGGACCTCATCTCTAAGACATCTACGTGGTCATGTTCAAGGAGTGATGAGCTCTTGACTCAATTGGCAAGTTCCATATCTACTTCTGTTGCTGTGTAAAATACCTGGCAGAAAGCAATTTATGACTGGGCAGTGGTGCACGCCTTTAAACCCAGCACTTGGGAGGCAGAGGCAGGAGGATTTCTGAGTTGGAGGCCAATCTGGTCTACAAAGCGAGGTTCAGGGCAACCAGGGCTATTACACAGAGAAACACTGTATTAAAAAACAAACAAAAAAACAAAAAGGAAAGAAAGCAACGTATGAAAGAGGAATTTATTTAGCTTGCTCTTTCAAGTTTTACAATTCATTTTGGGGAAGTCAAGGCAGGACCTTAAGTATTGTCATGCCACATTCACAGTCAAGGGAATAAAAGCATTGTTGCTTGCTCTTAGCTTTCTTGTATTGTTCTGGATTTCTGCTTAGGGAATGATGCTGCCCACAATGGGCTGGGTTTTCTAACTTCAGTTAACAATAAAGACAATTCCAACAGAAGTCCTTATAATTTCTCACTAAGACTCTTCCCTGGTGACTCTAGGTTGCCTGAGTGAAGTTGAGTGTTAAAACTAGTAAGCACAGCAGGTAGCTTAGTAACATTTCACTGTCATTTTCTCTTTACCAAAAACTAAAGATAATATCTTTTTTTTTCTTCTTTGTTTTTTTGAGACAGGGTTTCTCTGAATTGTTTTGGAGGCTGTCCTGGAACTCAATCTGTAGACCAGGCTGGCCTCGAAATCACAGAGATCCACCTACCTCTGCCTCCCGAGGATAAATAATACTATCTTTTTTTTTTTTTTTTTTTGGTTTTTTACGAGACAGGGTTTCTCTGTATTGTTTTGGAGGCTGTTGGTCCATCCCGGCCTTGAACTCACAGAGATCCGCCTGCCTCTGCCTCCCAAGTGCTGGGATTAAAGGCATGCGCCACCACCGCCTAAATAATACTATCTTAAGGCAGCTCAGCAGTGGCCCTGGACTTGACAAGATACCACTAAATGCTATAAAAGTCGGTTTAAGTGCTGGGTGTTGGTGGCACACACCTTTAATTCCAGCACTTGGGAGGCAGAGGCAGGAGGATCTCCGTGAGTTCGAGGCCAGCCTGGTCTCCACAGTGAGCTCCAGGACAGCCCCCAAAGCTGTGGGGAAGCACTGTCTTGTGAAATTAAAAAAAAAAAAAGTGGGCTTAACTAATAATGGTACCTTTTAAATTGTTTTTATCTTAACCTTTTACTGCTTATTTGTTTTTGTGTGTGACAAGTGTGGGCATACATGTCAGCTTATGTCAGGAGGTCAGAGCACAGCTTTGTGGAGTCAGTTCTGACCCTCCACTCTTATGTGGATTTTGAGGCTTCTGGGACAAGTGTTCCACCCAAGCCTGACCTTCCCAAGTGCCGTGCAGAGACTGCAGTATGCACCACCACGCCCACTTCCTGGAGGCTTTCTTCAGATGTTCAACACGTGCCAAGTATTACTGCCACTATTCCCGGAAGCCCCCTGGCACACCATCAGCCTCGCTCCTTTTCTCAGGGACAGTGTGACTCGCTTCCCACAGTTCTTTCAACAACTTCTTCTTTTCTAGCGTCTCCTTTGCTCTCTTCTTCCTCTCTTGCTTTCTCCTCTCAGCCTCAAGCTTCTCTTTGTGGACAGGGCTGTTTGCACCATTGTAGAAAACATCCACTTTCTCCTGGAGGATTTTCCGAGCTATCTTTCTGTTTTGATCCACAGATCGTGTTTGGTGGCACTGCAAGAGATCACGGGCAGGAGTGTGAAACCATGGGTGTGAATGGGCAGGACCGCAGAAGCCCTAGTCCCTCAATCCTTCACAGAGGGGAAGGCCAGCAGGGCAAAGGCAGGAGCCCCTTTGAGTCAGCCATGTGCTGGGAATCAAACCTGAGTCTTCTGGAAGAGCAGCCAGTGCTCTTAACCCCTGAACAGTCTTTCCACACAATAGCTTTCAACTAACTTAAGCAGTTTCCAAGAAATCCTAGAAGCGCTGACTGGAGTCTCTAGCTTGTGGCCAGAGAGCAACCCCTGTGCAAAATTCATATGCTATTCACAAGTGTGGATCCATCTGGAGGACAAGGGTTGAGGGTTACTAACAGTTCACCACAACATTCCGTATGGGAAACTGATGGTGATCAGGGCCTAGCGAAGTTGGTGGGCAGAGGAAATGCTGTGGCTTGAAGGAGGGATTTCCAAAAAGTGACAAGTTCAACAAAAAAATGCTTTTGGAATTTTGTTATGAGTGAGGTTCTCAAGGAGGAAAAGAAAGCAACTGAGGGTTTTAACTTATGTCTTCTTGGCTCAAGAAACTCGCCATAAAGCAGCTACTGGATTTCCCTTTTGAAGGAGTGTGGGCAAGTTCCTTGTCTGCCTCAGGCAGTAAGCACGTTTCCAGGACTCAAAGAGTTAACATACAGCGTACCCTTAGTAGTGAAGTATCTGCTGTTGGCTGTACCTGGGAAAATCTGTGCTCTGCCTTCCTTCAGGCTCCCTCAAGGCCGTGTGTGCTGTTCTGGGGCCCTCTAGTGGCGTGCACATGGCAATGCCAGTGGCTGGCTGGTGGGTCTGCTAGCACTCTGAGCTAAAAATCACTTGTTTGGAGCTGCTGCTGCCCCTGGCCAGAGACTGCCTTCTTTTTTTTGGCTTTTTTGAGACGGGGTTTCTCTGTGGCTTTGGAGGCTGTCCTGGAACTAGCTCTTGTAGACCAGGCTGGCCTCGAACTCACAGAGACCCGCCTGCCTCTGCCTCCCGAGTGCTGGGATTAAAGGCGTGCGCCACCAACGCCCGGCTAGAGACTGCCTTCTTTAAGGAAGGTTAACACTGGCAGCTGTCAGTGCTTTTGCCTCAGCCTCCAGCCCCACCTCGTTCTTTCGTAGGAAGGGCATGTGTTAGAGACATTTGCCAAAGCAGGGCAGAGGGACACGGAGAGACAGCTAGCCAGTGGCACAGCCCATCGGTTCCCTGCTGTCAGCCAGGGTGGCTTTGGGAGCAGTGGGCTTCAGCAGACCTGCCTTATAGCATCCCTTGCTGGTGACACAGCCAAATTCAAGGACAGCAGCAAAGCCCTGGCTCCACAAGACTGGCACCAGGCTCCTGAGACTGGGCAGGAGGGTCGTCTCCAGAGGTCAGCTCAGGGTCTGGGTACACCTGCAGTACCCTGACAACTGGGTTTGCACAGCGTGCCAGTGCCAGACCGGGCACACCCTTCAGCTAAAACTCGCTGTGGCGGCAGACCTGGACTCCTCTCACCCACCTGACCCCTCCACCGTCTACCTTGACCACGATGCCGGAGGGCACATGTTTGAGCACTACACAGTTGCTGGTTTTGTTGGTGGCCTGGCCCCCTGGACCATGTCCTTTCACAAACTGTTCTTCAAGCTCACTCTCGTGCAGGGGAAGCAGAGCAGGCCAGTCCTTCCTGCCTGCCACCTGAACCACAGCGGCAGCTATTCCTGGGAAGAGCAGTGCTGGCTTCTGAAGCCCAAGTCCCCAGGCCCCTGAGCATATCCCGATCAGTGGTGCAGGGACGCGGAGGTAAGCCCAGGTGCTCATCAAGGACACAGCTCGGTGTGGCAGGGCCTGGAATGGAGAGAGAATGAGGCCATCTTTTCACTTTGCTCTCAAGATGACAGGCTTCAAACAGTTTTTTATACAATCTCAGTGACAGTCCTTCATGCCCAGGGCACGTAGGGGACAAGCAAAGACAAGTGACTAGGAAAGCACATCTCCCTGGACTGAGTTGCCCAGAGTTCTATCAGCTAATACATACTCCTTTCTTTTCTTTTTTAGGCCTACAGCACTGGGTATTCCCATCCAAGTACTGACGGGGCTGACCCTGTTTAGCGTCAGTGTGTTCAGGGCGGCATGGCCACAGACTATACATTTTTCTTAAAACACACCGAAAATAACCTTCAGAGCACCTGGCGGTACTATCCCCTTAAGAAAGAGGTACTGAGTGTGACATTAAAGGAGCAGGCCTGTGTTTAGGCAGAGACATATTAAAGAGCATTCTGAGGAAGAATTAGGACCTGAGTCAGGGGACAGTATTTAGATGTGAAATCTACATTTGTGCAAGGATGACGGCATCAGTCTATTTTATAGCTGAGCTTAAAGTCTGACACAGTAAGCTTCACTATCAGTCAGTGCCCTGACTGTTGTTTGTAATGCTGGCAGTTTTGTGGATTTGAATGGGAACATCTGTTCCCTGGGATGTACCGCCAACAATGTGAGCCAACCGGTCTTCTTGTTACCAAATCAAGCAGTTTCTACTAACGCGCCTGTTAGATTTCAACAGCACAGAGGATGTGTGAATGATGTCAAGATGAGAGCTGGGCCGACTGGTGAAGCGCACGCCTTTAATCCCAGCACTCGGGAGGCAGAGGCAGGCGGATCTCTGTGAGTTCGAGGCCAGCCTGGTCTACAGAGCTACACAGAGAAACCCTGTCTCAAAAAACTAAAAAGGGGGGGGGAGGAGACTGGAATCAAAGAGCTGGACCCCTGAGCTAGCCAGAGAAGACACTCCAGACTGCATGAAGATTGAGTACCCATGCACGTTCAACCCATCTTTTTTTTTTTTTTTAAAGATTTATTATGCACACAGTGTTCTGGCATGCAGGCCAGAAGAGGGCATGCGATCTTATTACCGATGGTTGTGAGCCACCATGTGGTTGCTGGGAATTGAACTCAGGACCTCTGGAAGACTAGCCAGTGCTCTTAACCATTGAGCCATCTTTCCAGCCTTCAACCCTTTCTTAATAAACTACACCCCCATGTTCAGGAAAGTCTTTGCAGTTTAACAAAATATTTAAATGAAGCTGGGTGTGGTCACCCATGCTAGTAATCCCAGCACTCAGGAGGCTGAGGCAGGAACCCCAGGCTATAAGACCTGATCTCAAAATCTAAAAAGATTTAGCTAATGACTCAAGATTCAGCATAACGCTGTAATCACTTAGATGGCACATGAACTGGGCAGGGAATTGTAGCTACAAGGACATGGTCACCCCACAGGCTTTTGAGATTTTCAAGGGGTCAAAGGTGAACAGGATCTGATAGGACTCCTTGTGAAAAGGTCAAGTCACAAGCTAGGCCTGAATCATCGACTGGAAACCTGGTGAACTTGCTTTTTTCCACCCAGCTCACATCTCATAGAAAAGATCAGAGACAAAAGTATTCTGGGATGGATGGCTCTGCTCATGACTTCTGGGGCACTGGACTACATCTTAGCAACCTTCCTGGCAGCCACCTAATCTCAGAATCACAGTTTAGTTGTGGTCTGCTGAGGGTGCTAGTTTCACACTGCTCCTGAGGCTCTCAATAGCAGCCGAAACCAGGTGACATAGAGTCCTGGCAGTTGGTCTGTGACACAGGGAGGAGCTACTAGCTTCTGAGATGATTCGATCTTCAGGACAGAACTACCCAGGTTATTACTGCTGATCCACTGTCATCCCTGCCTGCTGATACCTGCTGTACTTACCAGGTGAGTACTGGGGTGGACTCTTAATGAAGGCACACTACTGTGGTGCTCTATTTTTCATTTTGTTTATTTTGGTTTTTTGAGACAGGGTTTCTCTGTAGTCCTGGCTGTCCTGGAACTTGCTGTGTAGACCAGGCTGGCCGCAACTCAAGAGATCCACCTGCCTCTGCCTCCCCAGTGCTGTGATTACAGGTTAGTGCCACCACTGCCGGCTTGTTAATTTTTAAACTTATTATTTATCTATTTTTATTTTTTTAAGATTTATTTATTTATTACATATACGCCAGATTGAATTGTAGATGTTTGTTAGCCACCATGTGGTTGCTGGGAATTGAACTCAAGACCTCTGGAAGAACAGCCAACTCTTAACCTCTGAGCCATCTCTCCAGCCCCCTTAAACTTATTATTTATTTAGGTTTTGAAAACTTATTTCATAGGGGCTGGAGAGATGGCTCAGTGTCTATGTACACTGACTGCTCTTCCAGAGTTCAATTCCCAGCACCCACATGGCAGCTCACAGCTGTCTGTAACTCCAGTTCCAGCAGACCTGGCATCCTCACACAGACATATATGAAGGCAAAACATCAATGCACATAAAATGAAAATGAATAAACTATAAAAAAAACACAACTTATTTCATCATTATCACTATTGTTGAGACAAGATTTCTATTATGTAGCCCTGGCTGTCCTGGAACTTGCTGTATAGACCAGACTGGTCTCAAAATCCCAGAGATCTGTCTGTTTCTGCCTCCTGAGTGTTGGGATTAAAGGCATGCACCACCATGCCCTTTTAAAATTTTCTGTATTTGGTGTTTTGCCTTCATGTATGTTTGTGCATCGTGGACATGTCTGGTGCCACAGAGGCTGATCCCCTGATACTGGAGTGACAGACAGTTGTGGGTCACCCCAGATCTTCTGTAAGAACAGAAAATGTTCTTAACTGAGCCATCTCTCCAACCCCTACTTAATTTTTCTCTTTGTTGGAGACAGGACCTGAGACTGGACTTGACTTTCTCACCGTCCTCCCTCTCCCTTCTGTCTGTCCTCCCTTGTTTCAGGGCAGGTTTTCTTTGCTCAGCCCTAGCTGGCCTGGCCCTCTGTAGGTCTAGGACTAAGTACCTGAGTTACTATGTCCCGCTTTCCTGTTGTTTTAAAGACAAGCTCCTGAGTAGCCAGAAGAGTTGGCAACTGTGACGATGCTGGGCATCTTTGAACCTCTTTTTCTATGGGAAATGAATATGAGAAACCACAACACAGTCCTCTCAAGTCTTATGACTACTTGTTTTCAAGTCTATGACAGTATGGTTTAAACCCATGTCTTGTTTTTGTGTCATTCAATGTGTCCTGCCATGCTGATGGGTGATAGATAAGACAACAGCGAAGGTGGTCCTGTGGAGGGTGTGTATCAAAACCCAGGGCAATGAAAATGGTGCTTTAAAAACTATCTTAGCAATAATACAGAGAAACCCCGTCTCAAAAACAAAAAACAAAAAACAAAAAAACAAAAACAAAAAACACTATCTTTGCAGGGGAGGAGATTGTCAAGATGGCTCAGTGTTAAGAGTGTGTATTCCTCCTACAGAGGACATGAGTTCAATTCCCAGTACCCATACTGGGTCGCTCCTTCTAACTTCTTTTTTTTTTTTTATTTTGGTTTTTCGAGACAGGGTTTCTCTGTAGCTTTGGAGGCTGTCCTGGAACTCACTTTGTAGACCAGGCTGGCCTGGAACTCACAGAGATCCGCCTGCCTCTGCCTCCCGAGTGCGGCCACCAACGCCCGGCTTCCTTCTAACTTCTAATGTGCTATTCTGGCCTCTGATGGCACTGCACACACATCACACACACACACACACACACACACACACACACACACACACACACACACACACGTCTACACCCAATAAATAAATCCAAGTGTGATGACCTCAGTTTGATCCTGGGACTCTTGGTAGGAACTAACTCCTAAAAGTTACTGTCTGTGACCTCTTCCACATGAGCACTGTGAAACACACAGGCACATGTAAAATTTTTTTCTTTTAAGTACTAATAAAGATACTGGTTTTGCTCAACGAGTGTGAAATATCTTAGAATTATACTTAAGAATATCCTTAGGTGAGCTGTGTGGTGGTGGCGGCTGCTCACGCCTTTAATCTCAACATTTGTGAGGCAGAGGAAGGTGGTCTTTGTGAATTCAAGGTCAGCCTGATCTACATAGAAACCCTGCCTCAAAAATAAGTAAGGGAGGTTGGAAAGAGGTTAAGAGCATTGGCTGCTCTTCCAGAGGTTCTGAGTTCAATTCCCAGCAACCACATGACGGCTCACGACCATCTGTAATGGGATCTGATGTCTCTTCTGGCCTGCAGGGATACATGCAGACAAAGCACTATACATAATAAACAAAATTTTAAAAACAATAAATAACTGAATACATAAGAATAAAAAGGAAACTATAAGTGAAAAGAAGGAAAATGGTACGTGATCAAGATGTGGTGGTCCTGTACCTGTACCCCCCAGAATTTGGAAGGCAGAGGAAGGAGGACCAGGGTGGGGGTCAGAAGACTCTGTCTCCATAGAACAATCGAGAGGAGGTAAGATGGATGGCTCAGTGGGTAAAGACGCTTGTCACCAAACCCGATGGCCTGAGGAACCCACAAGATGAGAGAACCAGCTCCTAAAACTTGTCCTCTGACCTCCAGGTATGTGTTGTGGCATGCACCTCTTCTCTGACAAAATGTAATTCAAAACAAAACAACCCCAAATAAATACAAAGGAAATGTGACGAACCCAGGTATTATAAATCAGGGACGGGGCTAAATTAATAATAATTTTCTTATTTCTGCTTTCAATATACAGACAGTATTCCATTGTGTAGAAAAGGCTCCAACTCCCTGAGGTGGACTGACCATGGAATATGAGCTCAGGGTCCTTTTTGAGTGTCTCTTCCGCCAGTTAGTGAACAGACCGGACAAGACAGTAGTGATAATACAGCGATGTGACAAAGACAGGAAGCGAGTTTGGAACAGGACAGACTCCCAGACAAAGGACAGCAGGGACAGTGCTTTCATCAGCAGCTGTCACAGGCACCAGCTCAGTCTCTGGCCTTC